CTAACCACAGCTGCTAATAGCTTTGGAGAAGCTGTGGTCCAGTACTTCAGCGGTGAGACAGATGTGCTGCCATATTCGTGTGAATCTTTTGTCAGAATGGAAGATGACATCTCAGAATTAGCCAATGTCTGCCAAAAGTGGGGGACCGAGGGCAATAAAACGGATAATGTTGGTAAATGGAGCTCTTCTAATCGCAATGAGAACAGATTGTACGATCATGTTGTGATCGTCTGGTATAAGTATCACTGGAATATTCAGCCATCACAAAAACGATTTGAATGCGACGATTTTCGAGGTGCAGTGTCTGCCGGTGATTTCTGGAAAATTTATGTACGTTAGATATTTTGGGTACTTTCCCTGTATTCAGAAGTCTTTACTCACACTAGTTAGTCTGATCTAACATCGATACAGAGCGCGCAGTATTCTATTGAGTATTGAAAGTGATCCTAGATTGCATTGGTTTTGCTTTAGTTTGCTTTGTGGTTGGTCCAGAAAACTTGCGCCCGCCACCATCTCAACCAATCAAATGCAAAACTAAAACCAATTCCAACTTGGTCACTCGTGTTTTCAAACGCTTCAAGCAGGTTGCTTCAAATGCCCACCCAATGTTTTGTTGAAGGCAAAATCAGCAGCCGTTAGTTTCTACATTTTGATTGTTTTAAAACCTAGACCTTGCACAACTTTTCTTTTGAGCCATTTTCTGGCTAAAGTGAACTATTTACCATTAAACACCGCATATTGAAAGATATAACGCTTCCGGTTCAAATTCTCCCTTCCGGCTTCCCCCCGTATAGACGACAAACAAATTGGGTTGCCCGGGGGATGTTGAAGCTTTGAAATGATCGGTGCATAATGCGTGTGAGTGTAAAATAACGAAGAACGAAAAGAAAATAAGATATAATGAACATAATTTTTCGCTTGAGAGGATGTTTCAGGTGACAAGAGTACTTTCAAACTCTCGAGAATTTGCTAAATAATCATCATTTCATTTCATTTTGTGTGAATGGGCACCATCATTTGTTTGATATTCTATATTATTTTCACAGAGGTGACATATTTGTAACATAACTTTGTGTGAAAGCCGACTGTGTTAAAAGTAAGGTCATGTAATTGCTTCCATTTAAATTCCTTCCAAGTTCGCAAGGGTTCTCTCTTTCTGAAACAGAGAGTAAAACACATGACTATAAACTATCCCAACACAACATTTAGACATCTTTTATTTTCTAAGAGTCTCGAATTCTTAATTCCACATGCCATTATGATAAAAAAAGAAAATTTTGCTCGCAAGGTTTGCAGTGCACTCTTTCGCTGATTAATGTTGCTCGGATTTCATGTGCTTTCTCGCAATGAACATTTCTTATTTCTATTACATTCCGCATCCTCATCATTGGCAATTGCGCATGATGGAATTAATTGGAATAACCACTGTCAGTTTATTTGCAAACCTTGACATTTGAAGGTAATTGAGGATGTCAAACAATTCGAATTCTAATTTC